CGGTTACCCAAAAAAAAAAAAAAAAAAAAAAAAAAAGTCTCCTGTCCCCTTTTCCCCACCAGGGCATGCCCCTGCCCCTTCCCCCCAGCTCCGTGCTGCTCCTCCCTGAGGTAGGGCCTGAGGACCAGGGAACCTACAGTTGTGTGGCCACCCATCCCAGCCATGGGCCCCAGGAGAGCCATGCTGTCAGCGTCAGCATCATCGGTGAGGAGACCTCTCTCCAAATCCCAGGGACCCTGGGGGCGGCTGAGGGACAGTGCAGGCTCCAATTCCCTACCCTATGCTAACACCGTCCCCGAGAGCCACCCCACGCTTCCCTCAGTGCAGCCACACCCAGGCCTTCTCTGCCCCACACAACCCAAGAGAACAGCCCAGCCTGTCCCCTCTCCCCTCTAAACTGAAGAAAGGGAAAGGCTCCACCGGGGCTCCCACTAGCCTTCTCCCAAACTGAAGCCTTCCCTTCTGACTTTGTTTTCCAGAAACAGGCGAGGGGGGGCCAACTGCAGGTGAGGGGTTGGATAAAGTCAGAGAGAAGCAGACAGACCTCAGCATGACTGAGGGGATGGTCAACAAGAAAGGAACTGTGAGGGCTGTGCCCTCAATTCTCCCCGTCTCCCTACAGGCTCTGTGGAAGGGCCGGAGCTGGGAACTCTAGCCCTGGCCCTGGGGATCCTGGGAGGCCTGGGGACAGCCGCCCTGCTCATTGGGGTCATCATGTGGCAAAGGCGGCAACGCAGAGGAGAGGAGAGGTGAGTGGAGGAAGCCAGACACCTCCGACTAAGGGCTTCCAGGCAGCAGGGAGGGGTGTGGGGGGAGAAATGACGGAGTGCTGGGAACCATGTGCAGAATTCTCCCCAATCCTCCTCCCCAGGAAGGTCCCAGAAAACCAGGAGGAGGAAGAGGAGGAGCGCACGGAGCTGAATCAGCCCAAGGGGCCTGAGGCAGCAGAAAGCAGCGCAGGAGGGCCTTGAGAAGCCCACAGCCAGACCCCAACCATCAGCTCCCTTTTTTCTTCCCACCCTCTTTTCTGGCCCCAGACCAGTTCTCCCCTGTATAATCTCTACCCCACCTCCCCAAACTTTCTTCCACAACCAGAGCCTCTCACAAACAGTGATGAGTAAACACCTGACACATTTGCTCTTGTGTATGTGTGATGCCCTCACCCCCTGCACCCTTGAGAGCCCTGAAGGAGAGGGTCTCACCCCCACGCTTCGCCACACCACACCGACATCTACTGAAGTTAGAGAGAAATGCTCCTGTCTTGGAAGGAAGGAGGGATGGACAAAGGTGGGCAGAGTTCCCGTGAATACATCTCACCTTGTTTATTGAATGTGTAATAAAGGAGGTAGTGAGGGGAAGGAAGCACTTAAGAGTCAGGACCCACATTAGACACTGGGGAGAGAAAAATTAAATTAAATCAACAAGGGGAATATGGGGGAGAGTCAGAGGGAGCCTTGCCCACCTTTCAACATCAAATCAAGAAATGGGGGGGAAAGCAAAGGATCAGGAGAGAGGGGAGACAGACCTTGTCTTCAGTCCGTCCTCCTCTCCCAGAGCTGGGAGTTAACGATGCTACTGAGCGAGCAGTTCAGAGCAAAGGTTCTCCCATTCCATGCACAGGTGTCACTCCTCCCCACACCCTCCTGGAAAGTGGCCAGGGTTGCCCTTAGCCAACAAAAATGGAGGGCTTACAGGGGAGGGTCCGGGAGTAAGGAAGGGTCAGCAGGGACCCCCAATACTGATTTTCCTCTGGCTGGAGGTGGGCAGGAAGGAGACACAGCTCAAATACTGAGCAGCCAGAAAAAGAAGAAGATGGCGAGAAACAGGAAGAGGGAGTCCTGCCAGCTGGAGGCCGGGTGACCCTGTCCCAGATCCACACCTGTGGAAGAGAGGAAAGCTGTGGAATAAGTATCCACTCGTAGGCTGGAAGCGGGGCCGAGGAGATTCAGAGGGCTCTCTGGTAGTAGCTGAGGGAAGGCTCTTACCTGTACCCCGACGGAATGGCTCGTGGGTATTGAAGACGGTGGTGAAAAAGCCGAAGGGAAAAGCGCCAACGCCAAATGAGAAGTGAAAGCCCCCAGTATCGCCAAATGGCTGGAATCCCTAGGGAGACGAAGAAAGTCAGTGGGGAACGGGGCAAGTCTTTGGCAAGGAAGCAATACAATCAGACAAGACTCACCCCTCTGCTCTCTGGAGCGGGTCGCTGGCCCTGGGGGCGGGGTGGGGTTTTCAATCTGAGGAAGAGGAGAGGGCCTATCAGCAGG